AAATGTAGGATATGTAGAGGTTATAAAAATGTACAACTAAGCTGCGGATGTGTTAAATGGGGAATTCCTACCAGTAGATAAAATTCTTGCGCGTAAACGCGATTCAATTCAAAATTTTCCCACCATTATTAGCATGCCCAAAAGTCAATTAGACTACTCCCTAGACTACCCCAATTTTCCTCCCATCTTGTCACCAGCTACCACCCTTTTCTTACCCCTCTAAACTTCCGCTCCTCTGCTGCAAGAAGAAGTAGAAACCGCTGCCTTCCAAGCTCCAACAGCCTCTCATCTTCAGCCACTCACACCCAGTCTTCAAGCTTCCATTTTCAGCTTCCACCTCCACTTCTTGCTGCTGTCCAGATCGAGCAAGAGGAAGGAGAGGATCGTTGTTGCTGCTGCTACTCTCGCTGTTCCTACCGCTGCTACTACTGCTGGGTTGTTCGGACCAGGGTGAAGGACAAAAACCAGCTTCCTATTTCTTTCTTCCACCAACCACAGAACCACCTCAAGCTCACCAAAAACCCCAGAACCCCAGCCCTCTTCATCTTCAGTCGCTGCTGTGCTGCTGCGGTAACTGGCCAGACCGAGAGGGAAACAGAGAGCAAGGGAGCCGGCTGACCCTCTGTGGTTCTTGGAGCAACTTGAGGAACTAGACAATACCTTTAGCTAGTAAACAACCCACTTGAAGGTAACAAACTCCAGCTTAGCACCTTAGCCAAAAATTTCAGATTTTTGCAGCTTTTGGTTCTTGAAATGTTAGCTTGCGTTGGTGAAACTTGTTGAGTTGCTGATCCTCTAAGCTAATGATTGATGAAGCTAGAGGTGTTTTATGTGTTTATATGTGTGTTTTGTGGTGGGTAAATGTTTGGGAAATTTTAAGAATGAAAATGGAGAGCTGGCCGAAATGGGAAGGCAAAATTCCAGCTTGGTTACCGGTTGTTGTTTTGCAATTTTTACTTAGGTAATAAACTGGATTGCTTGTTGGGAGGTTAGACTAGTTAGTTGTGATTGTTATGGACTTAAAGTATGACTTATAAGTTGAAAATGGTTGAGCAAAAAGAGGAGAAAATTCTGCTCTGCTATAGCCGCACAAACAGGCTTGACTTTCTTCCATTGTTACCCGAATTCTTGAGCTGGATTTTGTGAAGTTATTGGGCTATTTAAATCATGTATATGTTCACCTATATGTGTAGAGTAGTTTTGGTGAAAATGCAGCTTTGGTACAATGGGAAATTTCATTGAAAAATCAAAGAGAAAAATGCCCTTGAGCTGTCCGAAAAATTCTGGAAATTTCCAGATTTTTTGAGCGAATTTGGGGTTTGGTTTTGACAAGTTTTTGAACCATTTGAGCTGTAAACATGTTAACCTGTATGTGAAGTATTGTTTGGGTAAAAATGTAGCCTTTGAGTAGTTGAAAAATCTTGGACAAATGGAAGAGAAAGTGGACTGCTTGTACCGAATGCACTTGAAAATTTTTCCAGCTTTGCATGAGACATGTTGAATGATTTTCACGTTAACATGAACCCAATTTGACTTGTGTTTAGTTAAGGGGTGTGTATAGCTCAATTTGGGGACAGAATCTAGTAGAGTTTACGTCCAAAAAGTGGACCAAAATTTTATTCTTCACGAGGCTACCCAAAACAGAAATTTTGTTTGAAATTAGAAATGATTTTGACGTTTGGATTTCGTTTTGGTTAAATGTGGACTAAATTGTCCCGAAAATGTTTTCTAGCATTAACCTTTGTTACTAGGTCCACTTTGAGTCAATAACCTTGAATTTTATTAGACCAAATGCCCCATTTCGAGAAATATGCCAAATTTGGAAATTTTCTTGAAAACTCAAGTTTTTGCCTTCATGAAAATCCTTGAACCAAGTTGGCCAATGGAATTTGGCAAACTTAAGGAGTTTCTATTTTATAGAAATTCCAACGACTAGTTTTACTTGGTTTATATGATTTCCTCTTAAAGGAATTTCCCAAGATATTTTTGGTGAAAATTAGAAGGAAAAATTCCTCTAAATGGATAAATGTGATTTTTCTCAACCTGTGACACCAAAGTGGTGTTAATTGCTTATATGACTCTAGAACTTGGTTATTGAAATATTTGACGAATTTAGCAAGTTTTTGGTTTTAAAGAAACCTCAAAATTTAATTTCACTCGAAATTTGTGGATTTCACTTTGAGAAAACGATTAATACTAGTTTGGGATTTTTGAGTGAAATTAAATGCTAGTTGACTCGAGTTAAATTCGCCAACTCAAAAGTGGAAATTTATGTGAAATATTTGTATGATTTTAGGAGTTGGTGAAGAGCACAATCTCGATCAAAGTTTGGAATTCTAAACTCTTCACTTGAGGTGAGTGTCTCTTGCATGACTCGTGTTTAACTGCTAGTTGAACTACTTGTTAAAAGTACTTGCTAGAGATATCATGAAATGTTATATGTTATGTGATTGCATGAAATATCACAAGTACAAGTGTTGCAATGTCGATTGGAGCGTGGTCTCATCGATTAAATAAACCAAACGGATGCACGTACCACGCTCTATTAGAGTGGGAGGTACCTCTCTGTCGTCTTGGTAAAAGTGCTTGAAAAATTCGTGTTGGAGTCGGGCCCGAAAATAAGGGGGAAGTCGTTGCTAGGAGACGTGTAGATTAGGGAAAATGTTTACATGGAGATTAGATAGTGAAAGTTGATGGAGTGTCAACTACTATAAATTACCTGATCAAGCGCGAGGACTTTGGCTCCTGAGAGCCCCGTATCCTTTTCTTGTCATGTTATTTCGATTTTCTAAATTGTTAATTGCTTACTTGTCCATTTGTACTTGATAAATTGCCCTATGTGAATTGCATGTTTCGAGGCACCACTGAGCGATTGGCTCATCCCTTCCAATTTGTTTTCCTTGACAGGTTCTGAGTTGCATGAAGTCTTGGAGAACTAGAAAAGAAATGTTATATTTTGAATGCCCACTTTTATATATGTACTTTGGGAAAACTTTAGTATCTTTTGGATGACTTTTGTGTCTTTGGAAAAATGTGAATCCTGTGGTGCTTCTGTGCCCTGGATTAGGAATTTTAAATTATAAATTAAGTTGAATTTAAGTATTTTAAGTTAGACATTTTCTTTGATGCTTGAAATTGTACTTTTGGACAGAGTAAGTTGAATGGTACGGTTTGTTTAAGTACTTGACTTATGCGAGAAGTAAAGTTTAATTACAATTTATATTTGACGATGTTAGATGATTGAGTGAGTGAGTCCCGGCGAGAGATGGGCAAGCGACTCGCCGAACCCTCTGGTTCGCCTTAGGGGGAGGTGGGGCCGCCACAGGTGGTATCAGAGCATTAGGTTAGAACGTATTTGGGAGAATTGTTAGGTATTTTATTCCTAGAAATAGGAATGAGATACTTAGATATATTTTAAGTGATAATTGATCAGGTTAATGGTGCTAAGGTTTAACTTTGAAAGTTTTGGCTGTTTTGTAGGTATGGAGAACCATAATGGGAACAGACATGCTGCTAATGGTAACGGGCACGTGAATGGTCTCGCGCCGCCTCTTAGGCCTATTTTTTATCAAGTTCAGGGTGGTGGAGCTCGTGTTCAGTACTCGCCCGCCACCAGGGTTCCTAGGTGTGACTGTAGGTTGACATTTTCTTACCCCAACCGCTTGGTTCTGGCTATAGACGATGAACGTCACCAGTTGGTGAATTCCAACCTGGCCCTGATTCAGGACGTGGATGAGCTAGGTGCCATGGTGACTCATCTGCAGCATAGGGTAACAGAGCTGATTGGACGAGTGATAGAGGAGAGAGCTAGGGCTGAGGCAGACCGTGAGGAGCTGCGGAGAGCAAGGGACAGCATGGCTAGGATGAGAGACATGGTTCGTGAGCGAGCCTCTGGGATACTAGCGGATGCTACCATGCTGGTGGATGAGGTGATGGACGAGGCTTCAGAGGTAGTTCCTAGTACTGAGGAGGATCCAGAGGAGGACCCGGAGGAGGATCCAGAAGAGGATCCTGATGAGAGGAATCCATCTGATGGTCCCGCTGAGGACTAGGCTTAGTTAAACTCTCCTTTGACTTGTAATCTGTAAACATTGGTTGGGATGGTGCTAACTCTTGGGCCTTTGTATTTTTGTAACTGTATGGCCTGCTTTTGTAGTATTGCACTTCTTTTGATTATGAATGACTGGTTGCACCTTGTAGCACCTTTGTGCTATATTTTTGTAAAATCCCAACGAAATGCTAATTTTAGGAATTTCGAATGTTAATATATGTGTTAGTTGTGGTTATTTTTATCGCCCTCAAGTTGATCTTCATTTGGCATAATTTTCTGTTTTGTTTCTCAATTTTACGTAATTTTCCTGCGTTGCTCTTTAGACTTTGCGTAAATTTCTGCATACTTACTTCTTGTCTTGCGTTAGGCATAACTAGGTATGGATCCCCGTGGTAGAGGCCGAGGTCGAAGTCGAGGTCGAGGTCGAGGGAGACGGGTTGAACCCCTTCGTGATCAAGGGGGCGATAGAGCGTCGGAAGTGAACCAAAATCGGGGACCTGAGGGCGGGGGCGGAGATCAAATGGCCACCGCTATTAATAGGATAATCGAAGTGCTAGAGCGTTTGACGGACCATCAAGGTCTTGGACCAGTGCATCAACAACCTGGTGGGCAGGTAGATACTGAAGATAGGGCCTTGGAGAGGTTCCTGAAGTTTGGGCCGCCTAAGTTTCAAGGTGGGCCAGGGCCTGAAATAGCTGAGGGATGGTGGGAGAGAATATCTGATATTTTTGCCACCTTGGATTACACTGAGACGCGGAGGATGACTTTTGCGTCATTTCAATTTGAGGGAGCTGCACAGTCTTGGTGGAATCTAATTAAGGATAAGTGGGATAGAGACCGTACCCCTAGCACTTGGGCAAACTTCACCCGTGAGTTTAATGCCAAATTTCTTCCACCTCTAATTTAGGAAAAAAGGGAGGATGACTTTATTAAGTGCAAACAAGGGACCATGAGTGTAGCAGAGTATGAGACCAACTTCACTAAATTAGCCCGATATGCCCCTGACCTGATAGCCACTGAGCAGAGACGCATTCGAAGATTTGTGCAAGGGCTCAATGTGGAGATTCAAGAGGGGCTAGCCACTGCTCAAATTAACACGTATAGTGATGCCGTAGAGAAAGCTCAGAGGTTTGAGACGGCTAGAGCCCAGTCTAGGTCATTCTTTGCTAGGAAAAGGAATGCCCCTAGTGGTAGCAGGGACCCAATTTCTACAAGTGCCCCACCGCCTAAGATGGGTAGAGGAACTGGGGTAGTGAATAACCCTAGTGCATCGAGAGGTGCTTTAACAAAGGGTGCTGGAGCTAGAGGCTTTGGGGCGAGGGGATCTGGAGTGAGAGGAGGGTTAAATGGAAGGGGACCCCCTAGGAGTGCTCCACAAGGTGTACAAGTGTCAACCCCTCAGATAACCTGTGGTTACTGTGGAAAAGCCAATCATATTGCAAATGAGTGTTGGAGAAAGGAGGGCAAGTGCCTCAGGTGTGGGAGTGCTGAGCACCAAATTGCTAATTGTCCTAAGATTTCCGAGAATGGGGGAAGCCAAGGAGGTGCCACAAGTTCTAGGCAAACTGCTTCTGGAGGGAGTCGGCCAAAGGTCCCGACCAGGGTTTATGCCCTAGATAGTCAACCTGTACCTGACCCTTCGGAGGTAGTCGAAGGTACACTTCCAATCTTTCATCGATTAGCTAAGGTTTTAATTGATCCCGGTGCGACTCATTCGTTTGTTAATCCTGCTTTTATGTGTGGAATTGATGTAAAGCCTGTACGATTACCCTATGATTTGGAAGTTAGGACTCCTACGGGTAATAAGAGCATGCTCACTAGTTTAGTGTATAAGGAGTGTGAATTTTGGGTTGGAGAGCGAAAAATGTTAGTTAACTTGGTGAGTTTGGACCTTAAGGGGTATGATGTAATTATAGGAATGGACTTTTTGTCTTACCACCATGCTAAGCTAGATTGTAGAGCTAAAGTGGTGGAATTTTGCATCCCAGGTGAGACAACTCTCAAGCTAGATATAAGGGGTAGATTAGCTTCGTCTGCTTTGATTTCAGGGATTCGAGCTAGGAAAATGCTTCACAAGGGAGAGCCCAGGGTTTCTTAACTTTCTTAATTAACGCCCCTAGTGACCAAGTGAAATTAGAAGATGTGCCAATCGTGCGAGATTTTTCCGATGTCTTCCGTGAAGAATTAACATCTTTACCACCTGAAAGGGAGATAGAGTTTAAGATTGATTTGGTACCAGGAGTAGCCCCAATTTCAAAGACTCCTCATAGAATGGCTCCTGCGGAGTTGAAAGAACTAAAGATCCAGTTGCAGGACCTACTAGAAAGAGGTTTTATTAAGGAAAGTGACTCACCGTGGGGAGTTCCAGTTTTGTTTGTAAAGAAAAAGGACGGGAGTTTGAGATTGTGCATTGACTATCGAGGTTTGAATGAGGTGACTATTAAGAATAAGTACCCTTTGCCCTTGATTGATGGATTATTTGATCAATTGCAAGGATCGGTGGTGTACTCTAAGTTAGATTTGAGACAAGGGTACTATCAATTGAGGATTAAAAAAGAAGACATACCTAAGACTGCTTTTAATTTTAGATATGGGCACTTTGAGTTTGCGGTAATGCCCTTTGGGTTAACCAATGCCCCAACTGCTTTCATGGATCTAATGCAGAGAATCTTTAAGAAATATCTGGACCAATTTGTGGTGGTATTCATAGATGATATTCTAGTATATTCTAAAACCCGAGAGGATCACGCCAAGCACTTGGAGATAGTTTTACAAGTGTTGAGGGAACACAAACTTTACGCTAAGTTCAGTAAGTGTGAATTTTGGCTGGAAGAAATTTCTTTTCTGGGTCATAGAATTTCTAAGAATGGAATTGCAGTGGATCCAACTAAAGTAGAGGCAGTTACTTTGTGGAAACAACTAGAGAATCCAACTAAAATTAGAAGTTTCTTGGGATTGGCAGGTTATTACCGTCGTTTTATAAAAGATTTCTCGAAAATTGCTGGGCCAATGACGGAGTTAACTAAGAAAAATCATAAGTTCATTTGGAGCCCTAAATGTGAAGCGAGCTTTCAAGAATTGAAGAGGCGATTGACTACGGCTCCAGTGTTAACCCTACCTGAGGGAGTTGAAGGGTATGTAGTATATTCCGATGCTTCTAAAGAAGGGTTTGGCTGTGTTCTAATGCAAAAGGGAAAAGTTGTGGCCTATGCTTCTAGGAAATTGAAACCTCATGAGATGAATTACCCGACCCATGACCTAGAGTTGGCTGCTGTTAATTTTGCTTTGAAGAAGTGGAGACATTACTTGTATGGGGTAACATTTGAGGTATTCACAGATCATAAGAGTCTTAAGTATCTATTTTTACAAAAGGAGTTGAACTTGCGACAGAGGCGTTGGGTAGAATTTCTTGAGGATTATGATTGTTCAATCAATTATCACCCTGGGAAAGCAAATGTTGTTGCAGATGCACTAAGTAGGAGGGCTCAAGTAGCTGGTCTAATGGTGAGAAAATGGGATATGTTAGAAAAAGCGAGTGGTTGGAATCCTCGTTTAGAAAAGTTGAAAATCTTGTTTGGAAATCTATCCTTAAAATCCCCTTTGTTAGAAAGAATTAAGGAGGCTCAAAGGAAGGATCCGGTAGTACAAGGTTATTTGGAGAGAGTGGGAAAGGGGGAAACCCTAGATTTTAAGCTAGGACCTGAAGGCATTTTGAGATTTAGGGATCGAATATTAGTATCTACTGAAGAGGGTTTGAAAAGAGAAATTCTAGAGAAGTCACATCGGTCCAAGTATACTATTCACCCTGGAGTTAACAAGATGTATCAGGATGTAAAAGGGCTTTATTGGTGGGATGGCTTAAAAAGGGATGTGGCGAAATTTGTACAGACTTGCCTAGTGTGTCAACAGGTTAAGGCAAAACATCAGAAGCTTTCGGGTTTGTTACAACCTTTAGAAATTCCTGAGTGGAAATGGGAGCATATTACCATGAATTTTGTGACGGGTTTACCTAGAAATCAAAGGGGACATGATGCGGTTTGGGTGATAGTGGATAGGCTTACTAAATCTGCACATTTCTTACCGGTGAATATGGGTTACTCTTTGGAGAAATTAGCCAAGTTGTACACAGAAGAAATTATGAGATTGCATGGGATTTCTATAAGTATAGTCTCCGAATGAGACCCTAGATTCGTTTCCCGCTTTTGACAGAAATTTCAGGAGACTTTGGGGACTAAGTTGAAGTTGAGCACTGCATATCATCCACAAACAGATGGACAGTCGGAAAGGACCATACAAACCCTATAGGACATGTTAAGATCCTGTATATTAGATTTCGGAAGGAGTTGGAGCCAATACATGACGTTGGCAGAGTTTACTTATAATAACAGTTATCAGGCTTCAATCCAAATGGCACCGTATGAGGCGCTTTATGGTAGAAGGTGTCGATCCCCTATTCATTGGGATGAAGTAGGAGAGAAGAGGACTTTAGACCCGACAGCTATTGCATGGATCGAGGAAGCTTATGAGAAAGTTAAGCTGGTTAAGGAGAGACTTCAAACTGCTCAAAGTTGGCAAAAGAGTTACGCAGATCACCGAAGAAAAGACTTAGAATTTGAAATAGGAGACAAAGTCTTTCTAAGAGTGAAACCTATGAAAGGAGGGGTAGTATCCAAGAAGGGAAAGAAATTAAAGCCGAGGTACATTGGACCCTTTGAAGTTCTTAAACGAGTTAGAAAAGTGGCTTATCAATTGGATTTACCTTCTAGCATGAGCAGGATTCATAATGTCTTCCACGTATCTATGCTCAAGAAATATCATCCCGACCCAAGTCATGTGATTCAATTAGATGAAGTTGAAGTAGACGAGTCTTTGACCTATGAGGAGCGACCAGTTAAGATTTTGGACCGAGAATTTAAAGAATTGAGAAATAAGAAAATTGCCTTAGTCAAAGTCTTGTGGAGAAATCACGATGTCGATGAGGCAACTTGGGAGGTAGAGAAGGACATGAAGGACCAATACCCAGAATTATTCACTTGAACAGGTAAGAATTTTGAGGACAAAATTCTTTTAAGGGGGGAAGGATGTGAGGATCTCAAAATTTCATTAATTTTTGAAAATTAAAATCAAAATATTATTTAAATGTTGAAATTATTAAATAATATGTATTTATATTTAATAATGTGTATTTATATTAGTAATGATGTTTTCACTTATAAAAATGTTATATTTTAATTTACATGAATTTTTAAAAATTTATTTGACGGTTCGCGTTCGACTAAGCATTAGGGTAAATTTTTGCACACTGACGCGCAATGTAGCCCTAAGTTGAAATGTAGGATATGTAGAGGTTATAAAAATGTACAACTAAGCTGAGGATGTGTTAAATGGGGAATTCCTACCAGTAGATAAAATTTTCGCGCGTAAACGCGATTCAATTCAAAATTTTCCCACCATTATTAGCATGCCCAAAAGTCAATTAGACTACTCCCTAGACTACCCCAATTTTCCTCCCATCTTGTCACCAGCTACCACCCTTTTCTTACCCCTCTAAACTTCCGCTCCTCTGCTGCAAGAAGAAGTAGAAATCGCTGCCTTCGAAGCTCCAACAGCCTCTCATCTTCAGCCACTCACACCCAGTCTTCAAGCTTCCATTTTCAGCTTCCACCTCCACTTCTTGCTGCTGTCCAGATCGAGCAAGAGGAAGGAGAGGATCGTTGTTGCTGCTGCTACTCTCGCTGCTCCTGCCGCTGCTACTACTGCTGGGTTGTTCAGACCAGGGTGAAGGAGAAAAACCAGCTTTCTATTTCTTCCTTCCACCAACCACAGAACCACCTCAATCTCACCAAAAACCCCAGAACCCCAGCCCTCTTCATCTTCAGTCGCTGCTGTGCTGCTGCGGTGACTGGCCAGACCGAGAGGGAAACAGAGAGCAAGGGAGCCGGCTGACCCTCTGTGGTTCTTGGAGCAACTTGAGGAACTAGACAATACCTTTAGCTAGTAAACAACCCACTTGAAGGTAACAAACTCCAGCTTAGCACCTTAGCCAAAATTTTCAGATTTTTGCAGCTTTTGGTTCTTGAAATGTTAGCTTGCGTTGGTGAAACTTGTTGGGTTGCTAATCCTCTAAGCTAATGATTGATGAAGCTAGAGGTGTTTTATGTGTTTATATGTGTGTTTTGTGGTGGGTAAATGTTTGGGAAATTTTAAGAATGAAAATGGAGAGCTGGCCGAAATGGGAAGGCAAAATTCCAGCTTGGTTACCGGTTGTTGTTTTGTAATTTTTACTTAGGTAATGAACTGGATTGCTTGTTGTGAGGTTAGACTAGTTAGTTGTGATTGTTATGGACTTAAAGTATGACTTATAAGTTGAAAATGGTTGAGCAAAAAGAGGAGAAAATTCTGCTCTGCTATAGCCGCACAAATAGGCTTGACTTTCTTCCATTGTTACCCGAATTCTTGAGCTGGATTTTGTGAAGTTATTGGGCTATTTAAATCATGTATATGTTCACCTATATGTGTAGAGTAGTTTTGGTGAAAATGCAGCTTTGGTACAATGGGAAATTTCATTGAAAAATCAAAGAGAAAAATGCCCTTGAGCTGGCCGAAAAATTCTGGAAATTTCCAGATTTTTTGGGCGAATTTGGGGTTTGGTTTTGACAAGTTTTTGAACCATTTAAGCTGTAAACATGTTAACCTGTATGTGAAGTATTGTTTGGGTAAAAATTTAGCCTTTGAGTAGTTTAAAAATCTTGGACAAATGGAAGAGAAAGTGGATTGCTTGTACCGAATGCACTTGAAAATTTTTTCAGCTTTGCATGAGACATGTTGAATGATTTTCACGTTAACATGAACCCAATTTGACTTGTGTTTAGTTAAGGGGTGTGTATAGCTCAATTTGGGGACAGAATCTAGTAGAGTTTACGTCCAAAAAGTGGACCAAAATTTTATTCTTCACGAGGTTACCCAAAACAGAAATTTTGTTTGAAATTAGAAATGATTTTGACGTTTGGATTTCGTTTTGGTTAAATGTGGACTAAATTGTCCCGAAAATGTTTTCTAGCATTAACCTTTGTTACTAGGTCCACTTTGAGTCAATAA